GGACCTGACTGCTACCTATGTGGCCTTTAATCCTGCTAATAGCCCTGTCAGATGCAGTTCCATTATTAGCCCTGTATTTGAAATGAGGAACAGGGGCCTTTAATAGATTAAGCCTCTTGCCTGGGGTTTCACATCTACTAAATGGCAGAACTGGCATCCCAGTAGCAGTCTGACTCCAGAGGCTTGGTGCATAACAATGAGACAATACAACTTGGACCGCTGCTCTCGCCATTCTGTCCAGCCCTGGGTAATCGGGGTGTTCCTCCTGACATCTAACTAAGTCTCACTCACTGGCCTGAAGTCCCCATATTCTGGCAAGAGGCATAGGCATGTGTAGCATAGAGGTAGTGGAATGGCTCAACATGGCCTCTCAGGGTCACCACTGACCAGAGGGACAGTCTCTCTTTTCTACGGTGGGATCGTCTTCTCCAGGCTCCACCTGTCCATCCTCTCTGTCCCCTTCCTATTCTCTACCTCGGGCCTCCCTCCATACCCACCTCCCCCACCTCGGGCCTCCCTCCATACCCACCTCCCCCAGGATGGCCCAATCCCCGCCCCCTTCTGCCAGCCCTGCCCTTGCCCAACCACACCCCTTCTCCCAGGCACCAGTGACTTTCTTCGACTCTACTCCTATGGGCCGTGTCCTAAACCGCTTCTCCTCTGACGTGGCCTGTGTGGATGACAGCTTGCCTTTCATCCTCAACATCCTCCTGGCCAACTCAGTGGGCCTGCTGGGCCTCCTGGCTGTGCTGGGCTCTGGCCTGCCCTGGCTGCTGCTGCTGCTACCGCCTCTGAGCCTTATCTACTACCGAGTGCAGCGCCGTTACAGGGCCTCCTCACGGGAGCTGCGGCGCCTGGGCAGCCTCACCCTGTCTCCACTCTACACCCACCTGGCCGACACCCTAGCTGGCCTCCCTGTGCTCCGGGCCACTGGGGCCGCTGACAGGTGTGTGGGATCTGCCTCTCCCAACCAGGGCCGGGGGGATGAGGTGGTGGGGCAGGGGGCAGAGAGTCCCTTAAGAAGAAAGGCACATGGGGAGGTGGGCTTTAGGTCTCCTGAGAAGGGAAAGGTGGGTGAGGGCACTAAGGGAAAGAGGAAGGAAACAGAGAAAAGGGCTAGTGAGGCAGAGCAGCCCCCCATGAAAGGGCACACTGACCTCTCCAGACTCTGAGGTGAGGCCTGTGGGTGTATGGATCAGCTCCAGGAAGGAGCTGTGTTGTGGGGGAGTCTGGGCAAGTCATTGCCACAGTGGAGTGGCCTCACTTCCCTCCCGGTCTCCCCCAGGTTTGAAGAGGAGAACCAGAGGCTCCTGGAGCTAAACCAAAGGTGCCAGTTTGCATCCAGTGCCACAATGCAGTGGCTGGACATTAGGCTCCAGCTCATGGGGGCTGCAGTGGTCAGTGCCATTGCCGGCATCGCCCTGGTGCAGCACCAGCAGGGCCTCGCTGACCCAGGTACTGCCCCGGGACCTTCATGCTCACCTCAGAAGCATGTAATTCCCATCCCCTGGCCCAGACCTCTTCCTGCACTGTCACCCAGCACTTTCACCTGCCACCCAGGGCTTCCTGTGAGGATATGTTGTGATTCTCCTGCCCCCCGTTTTAGAGTTGAGGAAACTGAGACTCAAGAAGTGACCGACCCAGGTGATGGTGGATCCCGTACTAGCACTAGTCTTCTGACTCCGCCCCTTTCCTGCTCCACCCCCAGCACTCTGCCAGGCCCACCTGTCTGCCACCTGTCATTCCCCATAGCCTCTCCAGACCCACTCCACTGCCTTGCATCCAGCTCGCTGTGGTGCTGGTCTGGTGCTGGCATCTTCCTGCTTCTCTGCTGGTCTTTAAATGCCCGTAGTCCACAGCTTCAGTTGCCCATATTCTGCCTCACTCCTCCATGCCTCCCAGTGTCCAAGCCTCCCCTAGCGGCTGGTGTTCCTCTCCTGCTAGGACTGGTGGGCCTGTCACTGTCTTATGCCCTGTCCCTGACGGGTCTGCTCTCGGGCCTGGTGAGCAGCTTCACGCAGACAGAGACTATGCTGGTGAGTGTCGAGCGGCTGGAGGAGTACTCCTGTGACGTGCCCCAGGAGCCCCAGGGCCAGCCGATGCAGGTAGGCCTGCACCTCCGCCCCTGGCCTGGTGCTGGTGCCCTGAAGGATCCTCCTGATGGCCCAAGTTCCGTTCACTCCTTGCCACTTTTCTCAGCTCCTCTGATGCCCCTGTGTGATCCCCCCTTGCTTCACTGTGTCCCTCATCGTTGTGTCTGTCCTCCCTTCTCTCCTTTACTTGCCTCATTTCTCCCATCTTTGCTCGCACACCATCTATTTCTCATTATTCCCTCCTCCTTCCACTCTCCAACCCCCCTTCTCCTCCCTGTGTCTCCCATTTTCACCCGTCTCCTTCTCCCACCCACAAACCCCACCAGCTAGGCACTGGCTGGCTGACCCAGGGGAGCGTGGAGTTCCAGGATGTAGTGCTGGTGTACCGGCCAGGGCTGCCAAATGCCCTGGATGGGGTGACCTTCCGCGTACAGCCTGGAGAGAAGCTGGGCATCGTGGGCCGCACGGGCTCTGGCAAGTCTTCCCTGTTGTTGGTGCTCTTCCGGCTGCTGGAGCCCAGTTCGGGGCGAGTGCTCCTGGACGGAGTGGACACGAGCCAGCTGGAGCTGGCTGAACTCAGGTCTGGGGTAGCGAGAAGAAGAGAACCAGACTACTGGCACTTAGAAGGAGGCCCAGCCAGGAAGGCTTTACGTAAGCTTAGGGCAGCCAGGGTTGGCTGGCGGTGAGAAGGTGGATAGGACAAGCAGGCGAGGAGAGCGAGCCCAGTACTCAGGTCCAGGATTAGAGCTGTGGGCTCGAGGTCTTTACTCTGACCCAGGCCCACCTTTCCAGCTTCATCTTTCTTGTACTTCCCAGTATGCCCCCTGCATTCTAGACCACCCGTCCCTGCACCCAGAATCAGAGCCTCCCCATGCTTCACCCGGCACTCATCCCCCAGCCCTTGGGCTTGGCAGGTGGTGCTCTGGACAGCTCAAGACCTGGGCCAGTTGCCTCTGGCCACAAGAGGCCACATCTGGGGCTAAACACCCTCCACCACCCCCAGGTTAGCCTAGTATCATTTTCTCTGAGTTCCAGGATGTAGGAAAGGTAGGGGAGCTCTGTTCCAAAGCCTGTTACTGACCCCAGGCCCTGGCCCCACTTTTGCTGCCTTTTCCAACTCATGGCAGCCTTACAATAGAGCCCACCCATGGCTCCACAGGACCCGTTTCCAGGCCCTCCAACCTTGACATGTCCCCGCCCTACTATTCGAACTCTGCTCATTCCTTGCCACTGCTGCTGGCCCAGTCACTGCAGGAGTCAGGGCGACACCGTTAACCCACTCTTGTTCTCCGTGCATGGTGGCCCAGGGAGATGTAAGCTCCTTAAAGACAGAGTCTAGGCCTTGGTTTCTCTGGTTTTCCTCAAAGCACCTGCATGGTTCTAGAACATGGCTGACTAACTGGGGCACAGAGTGAGGGTCGCATTCAGGTCTTCTCCCCAAGCTTTCCTGGGGGTACTGGACCTACAGCTAAAACCTGTGCTGGGCGCAGCAGTGACCACATCTTCAGCCTAGACCCCATATGCGGTCCCCTCCTTGTTCCCCAGATCCCAGCTGGCTATCATCCCCCAAGAGCCCTTTTTGTTCAGTGGGACTGTTCGGGAAAACCTGGACCCCCGCGGCCTGTATGAGGACCTGGCCCTGTGGCAGGCTGTGGAGCAGTGCCACCTGAGGGAGGTGATCACATCCATGGGTGAGTACCAGGCCCTACCTTGCAGAGTGGAAGAGGAGGAAGCAGGGAGGGGGCAGGGAGAGGCCTGGGACCCAGAGGTGAAGTGCTGTGCCTTGCAGGTGGTCTGGATGGTGAGCTGGGCGAGGGGGGCCGGAGCTTATCGCTGGGGCAGAGGCAGCTGCTGTGTCTAGCCAGGGCTCTCCTCACAGATGCCAAGGTAAGGTGAGAGGAAGGGACATTCGAGAGGGCCGGGAAGAAGGCAGAGGCATGTGAAGGGTGAGGAAGTGAGTTGGGGAGAGGTCTCAGGGGACCAAGTTAGTTTTCGTTTTAGAGCTGGAGGTGGGGCACTGTAGGCTGGGCAGGGCCCAGCTGCAAGGTGGGTGCTGGTGCTTGGGCAGGAGCCAAGACTAACCCTCTTCCCTGTCTTCCCGCCCACCTCTCCACATGTCCCAGGTCCTGTGCATCGATGAGGCCACAGCAAGTGTGGACCAGAAGACAGACCAGCTGCTCCAGCAGACCATCTGCAAACGCTTTGCCAACAAGACAGTGCTGACCATTGCGCACAGGTGTGCAAGTATCTAGCGTGAGACTCTGGTCAGAGGCTATGGTGTCAGGTACCCCAGGGGCCAGGGCCCTAGAGATTCCAAACTCCTGTGAACCTCAGCTCCTTGTTCTCCTAGCACATTGTCCGAAGGAACCTGCGGCCCCCACCCCCATAGAGCATAAAGTCCGTGGGCAGAACAGTGGTGTCCGAGGGAGGAGAGGAGGGAATGAGGGTCAGCTTTCTGCTGTAGGATGTTGCTCTCCATCCCTCTCACAGACCACTCTTCCCACACAGGCTCAACACTATCCTGAACTCTGATCGGGTGCTGGTGCTGCAAGCTGGGAGGGTCGTGGAGCTGGACTCCCCGGCCGCCCTGCGCAACCAGCCGCACTCTGTGTTCCAGCACCTGTTGCAGAGCAGCCAGCAGGGAGCCTGCTCCTCCCCATGAGGACCCAGCAGGGTCCCCACCCTCCAGGGTCTCCCCTCTGCTGGGTGTCTGAGAGCTGATGTGTGTTTACATTCTCCCCCGTGGCTCTACCTCACCGGCACTCCCCAGAGGGGAGAAGGCGTCGTGGGTTCCTCTTTGAGAACCACTCCCAAGGCAGCATCCCACGGTTTCCCCAGAACCAGGCCTCTGCTCCGGCCCTCTGACATCTGAGACTCCAGGCAGGTTTTTCTGGCCAAGGAGCCTGCTTATAATTTCATACTTTTATTGGATAAAATTCCCATCTTACAGTCTGTGTATTAAAAAAATAGTATTTCTTGTGTGAGGCTGCTGAGGGGTGGCAAGAGAGAACCACTCCAGTCTGAGGGGCAGAGGAGGTGAAGGAGGGGGCACGGAAGCCCCCACGTCCATCACAGTGCTGTGGTCTTTCCAGGCTCAGGGGGCAGGGCAGGCGGCAAGGGCGGCCCCGCAGGCAGCATGCTAACCTGACACTCCTGGTCCTGGCGTGCCGGGGCGTAGTGTGGTGCAGGGTAGCAACAGGGTCCAGGCGGGCAGACACCCCGGCGCCAGGCCCGCAGGGTCAGCAACACCGTGGACAGGACCAGGGCGGCAGTCAGCGCCCCAAACACCACCATGGCCACCAGGCCAGACTCTCCCAGCCCGGCCTCCTGCCTCCGCACCACCTCCTTCACTGAGATGCGCAGCAGACCAGCCCCTGCACTGTGAGGGGCAGGCCCCGTGGCAGGCCCCACCATCGCTGAGGTGGGCCCCGGGGGGACGTCTGCTATGGTGGCAGGGTCTGGGACAGGTAAGACTAGTTCACAAGTCTTGCCGCCATAGCCGCTGGGACACAAACAGTCGAAGTCGTGGACACGGTCCCGACAGCGGGCCCCTCTCTGGCATGGGCGGCTGGCACAGTCATCCAGGTTGATGGTGCAGAAGCGTCCAGCAAAGCCCTCGGGGCAGAGGCAGGAGAAGCGGTTTACGCCGTCCACGCAGGTAGCGCCGTTAGCGCAAGGCCGCATCAGACAGTCGTCTACGTTCACCTCGCAGCGGGCACCCACAAAGCCTGCCAAGCAGCGGCACGTGAAGTTGAGGGCAAAGCCCTGGTCATCCTGGCACTGCCCGCCATTCTGGCATGGGGAGCTGGGGTGGAGGTGGGAGAGGGCTTTGATACGGACTCACACCTGCAGGGTAGCCCAGGTCAGCATCCTGACCACTGCCACCTCACCCCCCTTCCAGCAATGTCACGTTAAGCCACACTCTGAGCCTTCCATTCCTCCTTTAAAAAATGGGAATACAAGTAGTCCCCAGCTTCCAAATTGTGCAGGTTAAAGGAGATCACCCAATGTCAAGCCGTTAGCATGGGGCGTGGCCTGAGTGTGAGGCTAAGGCGAGTGTACTGTTACACTGGCGGGGCCCTTAGGCCTGACGCTGGAATGCCCCTACAGGCCTGTTTCCTTGTGCATGCTCTGTGGGACATCCTCAGGGCCACACAGCAGCTTTCCTGAGAGGATGAGGGGAGTCCGGGGTCCTCAACCTCCCCCACCCCAACAGCCAGAGCAGTTACACACTGATATGTGACACCCGCAATTCCTGCAGATTTTTGTTGTTGTTGAAATGGTTCAGGTGGTATAAAAAACATGAGAAACCCTGAACTAGGGACACTCCAGCAGGCTGGGGTTTTATCCTCCAGTGCCCCCAGGTGGGACTTCTGACCCTCAGCCCTACGACTTCACCACCACCACCTCAACAGTGCTATCTAACCTTGAACTCACCCCGTGGGGCCAGCACTCACCCTGCCTGCTCACAGGGTCCGGTCTTGCGCTCACAGTCCCGCCCATGGAAGCCTGGTGGGCACACACAGTGGTACTCGCCGCTGCCGTCATACACACACTGGCCTCCGTTCCGGCAGGGAGACTGCGTGGTACAGACGTGTTCATCTACAGAGAAGACAGAGAAGGCTCTGGGGTAGCCCCTTACATCTGGCACCCAGACCTGCCCAGGCCCCGCCCACAGCTCTGGGTGTGCGGCTTACACTGCAAACCCACCCAGGCTGGTGTGGTGTGGTGGGAAAAACAACACTGAGTTCAGAACCAGGCAGCTCCTAGCTCTGGCAAATGTCGGTCTGTCTCAGAGTGACTGGGCAAGTTCTACCTCATCTGTGGGTCTCAGTTTCCTCATCTAAAAGATTAGTACAATTTTCTGCAGCTGCCATACCTACCTCACGGGATTAGGTTAAGGGCCAATTCAGACACAGATAGATATAGTCTAAAATGATAAAATACCATGTGTTTGAGAGGTTGAGCTGGACCTAATAAATACAAATGGATGTTTTCCCAAGGCTCTTCAGACCAACAGCTGCCCCTACTCCCCTACCTTTGTCACAGAACTTGCCCGCCCAGCCACTGTGACAGATGCACTGCCAGGGCTGATGGCAGGAACCGTGCTGGCAGCCAGGCATCCTCACACAGCGCTCACAGTGCAGCCCCTCCCAGCCTGGGTCGCACCTGGTGGGGAGAAGCACAGGGTCAGGGCTCAGGGTGGTGGATGTGAGGAAACGCAGGCTAGGCTGGAGCTTTTAGAGAACAGGGGGACATATGACAGTCCCTAAGGAGAAGCAGGCTCATCCCAGATAGGTGTGGGCTGTGCAGGTCACATATATGGAATCAGACCATCTGACAGGAACAGTCAAGTCCTGGTTCTGCACTATGTCTAATCTCTCTGAGCCTCAGTTTCCTCATCTGTAAATTGGGGATACACTTTGCAGGGATGTGTTAATGAAGAAACTAAGATATGTCTGTAAATGCTCCCAATATCAGTCCAGGCATATGTGAGGCTGATAGTTTTGTTTTTGTTTTTTAAGAGTGACCCTGATAACAAAAGAAAAAAGCAAACAAAATATAACTAGAGTCTTTGAAATTAAGAACAATCTAACAACAGCCAGAGGGGAGGGGGGAAGGGACAGTGGGAAGAAGGGTTTTCAGGAACTACCATAAAGGACACGAGGACAAAGCCAAGGGGGAGGGTGGAAGAAAGGGAGGGAGATGGGTTTGAATGGGGTGGGGGCAGGGGAGAAAATGCAGACAACTGTAATTGAACAACAATAAAATAATTTTTTTTAAAAAGTGACCCTGAGCCCTGGTTTGTGTGGTTCAGTGGGTTGAGCACCAGCCTGTGAACTGAAAGGGCATGGATTCGAGTGCCAGTCAGGGCACATGCCTGGATTTCAGGCCAGATCCCTGGTTGAGGGTATGTGAGAAGCAACAAACCACTGTTTCTCTCGCACATTGACATTTCTCTCCCTCTCTTTCTCCCTCCCTCCCCCCTCTCTGAAAATAAATAAATAAAATCTTAAAAACAACAACAACAGCAAAGAGTGATCCTGAAAGATCATCAGGACTATCTTCCTACCCTGATTCCAGGGCCTTAATTTTTAAAAACAAAACAAAACAAAAAAACTCTCCAAGGACGGAGAGTCTGAAACACCCCCAGCGACTCCAGCAGCTTACCCTGTCAGCTCATTTCCTTGTCCAACCAGACACATCTCCCTCCTGCTACAGAATTTGCCCAAACCCCACACCAGCGAGTCAATTACTGAAAATTCATCGAGGAAGATCCTCTTTCATAAGTGCTTCTCCCCATCAACCTTGCCCACAGCCTTTCTTTTCCAGGCCTAACCAATTCTCTTTACATCTTTCCTTGATCTCTCCCTTTCTTCCCAATCCCCAAACTCTCTCAAGCTTCAGGTCTTTCTCCCGGTATCTTGAGGAGGGAGGAATGTTTCAGAATTTCTGGGTCAGACTTGGGAGAGAGTAAAGAAGTGTAGAGACATAAGCTGGAAGAAGGAAAAGAGCCAAGGCAAAGGGGACTGGGGATGGGTGAGGCTGGCCCGTCTGCCCTGTGTCCCATGGGGGGATGGGGAGTGCACAGTAGGGTCTTAAGCCCCTAGACACCTGCCCTGGGGCCAGACCAGGGTGTGGGTGTGAAGGGGTGGGAAATGAGGAGGAGAGGGGTTAGGAGCACGTGCTCAGAAGAGGTACCTGCAGGAGCCGTCAGGCTCACAGAAGCCGTGGGCCAGGTCACAGTGGGAACTGCAGTCATCGGCTGCAAGAGATTGATGTGGGAGGGGTGAGCCGGGGTCCGGTTTGGGTTCCCTGAGATGCAGGCTCGGGAGAGGATACGGGGTTCCAGTAATTGGGTGGGCTCAGCTCGGGGGCAGCGCAAAAGAGACTGTTCCATTCCAAAGGGAAACCTGGGTTTCCGCAGCCCCGCGGGTCCCAACGGCTGCAGTGCCGTCTCCAGCCGACAGAGGCCAACGTGCAAGCAAGGGACACCGGGAGAGGGCAACGACCTGAGCTGGGGGGTGGGCTCACCTATGGCAGGATGAACCAGTGCCCACAGGATGCACAACAGGCACATGAGATGTAGGCAGCGGCAGCCTCTGGGCATGGTCAGCGCCGGCCCCAAGAAGGACGGACGGATGGACGACCGGACGTGCGGACACCTGTGGGACAGCACAAGCTGGGAGGCGGTCGGACGCAGATATAGCTGCCCGGATTGCGATTCCGAGTGATAGGAGCCGAGGGAGGGGAGGGGCGCCCAGACCTAAGAAGGGAGTGGGGGCAGCGGGAAGGCTGGGGCTGGGTGAAGGGTTGAGGCGGCAAGGGTTTTGGGCACAGTACCCGGGATGGGGCTCTGTGGGAAAGGATGGACTACGTGGAGACAGGTCAGGGCGCGCGAAGGGCTGGAGCTGGGAAGGCAGCAGAACGGAGGAGCCCCACGGGGAAAGGGACAGTGCCATGGGGCGGCCTTGAGGACACAGGCTGCGTTCCCGGCAGCGAGCAGTGTCCGATCCCACCCTCGACCTCAAGCAGGACTTGCTCCCACTTCCCCTTCCCATCTCGGCGCGCTCGGCTCGGCCGCGGCGCCGCGCCTGGAGTCCCCGAGCGCCCATCGTCCTACGTGTCCGTGCCCTCGCGGTCCTCACCTCCGGCTGGGAAGCGGCGCGCTCGGGGCGCAGAGCGAGGCCGGATCCGACGGACTCCGCCGTGGAGCCAAGCTGGGGCGCGGGGCCGCCCCTAGCGGGCCGCGAGGACCGGAGCCGAGGCGGCTGCCATGAGAGCCGAGCGCTCGGGAATCTGGGGCTCAAGGCGACCCCGAGAGGCGGCGGCGGCGGCGGCGGCGGCGGCGGCTCCCCGTGCGCGTTCAGGCCGCCTGCCAGGGGCGGCGTGTGCCGGCGGGTCCCGGCTACGCACTCCCCTCCCCGGGCCGCCGCCTGCCCGCCCCCCGCCTCCCTGCTGCGCGCGGCGCACGCCTTGCGGCCGCGGTGCTCGGCGTTCGCCCCTTTCTCCGCTGCCTCGCTCTCCCCGCGGCCCCCACCCTCCGCTGCCACCTAACCTCTCCGAACCTTGCTTTCTTCATCGAAAGGAAGAAATTATGGGAGTCTAAAAATGGGAGCAGGCTGTAAAGTGCCGGCCAGATGTGCGCAGCCCTATTATTCTCCCATCTCGCATCCCGGCTTTGCTGACCCGCGCCTCTCACCGCCGCCCCACCTCTGCTCTCACCAGCCCGTTTCCCATTACGCTTCTCGTATGTATCCCATACACGCTCAGTGCACAGCGCCGCTCCCGCCCTCCTCCTGTCATCAGCCCACGCCTCCTCCGTTGGTAAAGCCTCCATCACCTGCTTCAAATGTCTGTGCTTCTCCTCTGCTCTCTCCCCTTCTTTCTCTCCTCATTGCAATCCACAGCCTTCCAGGATCAACCTACGCTCAACTAAATATCGCCTCCCCATCCCTGCCTCTGTCAAGTTCGTTATTCCCATCACAACGTTCCTTCCCGGGACCGCTACTAGAAGCCCCCCTGGACTGGGAACGCCCCTGACTCTGTAAATGTGCCTCCCACCCCAGCCCCCACTTCTGTACCCCGGATCACAACCGTTCTTGAACTAGGACTAATCGTCAAATGCCCCAAACCAGATCTCAGACTGAAAGAGTTCTGTGGGGAGAGTGGAGGAGGACTACGTCCTAGGCTAATGGCTCAGAGACCCGTGCAAGGCCAGGCCAGGCCAGGACACAGTATCTTGTTTGCGCAGGTCAAAAGGGCAGAGGTTAGGAAAGCCACCTAAACCTCCAGATCCAGTTTTCACCATCTTTAAGTTCCAAATATTGGAAGGGGGAGTCTCTAGCTTGTGCAGAGAGCTTCCTGCAGACACTTCCACAGGGACCGAGACCCTGGAATAATTTTTCTTGCAGCCTCCATTGGACATAAAAGCCACACCCACCCCATCTCTCTAGCCAGCTTCCCGGAAACTCTGGTCGCCTCTCTTCTAAAGGGCTTGAATTTCAGTAATGCCATGGCTCTAACCATTTATTTTGTTTAAATTCGTTTTTTAAGTGAAAAATGCCAAATAACCTATAATGTCTAATTAATGTAATTCAAATAGATTCTGTGACCATCAAAAGTCAGCTTTTTGAAGCCTGAGGATGCCAAAAAAAAAAAATCTAAGCTAAGGATATGTTGACTGTGGGCAGGGAGAGAAAACTCAGAGAGGTGATTTTGTTCTACGGTGGAATTACAGGTTATTTTTTTCATACTGGTGCTTTTCTACATTTCTCCCTTTCCAACAATGAATGTGTATAACTTTTTTTTATTATTATGAAATACATTCAATAACACTAAAGAACTTTCAGAATAAAATGAAAAGAAAAAAGTCACCCATGATCTTACTAGTATGATAAAGCCACTATGGTTTGTTTGTTGGTTTTTTTCACCCCTCTCCTTTCCCAGCTGTTTTTACACAGTACCAGAAATGTTGTGTCTTGCTTTTTAAAATACACCTGAAATGTTGTGCCCTGCCTTTTTTTACTCCACATAATGTAATGATAGTTTTCACAAGCATATTTTTATGACTGCCTAATAGCTCATTAAATAGATCACCATCTATCTAACCTAGCCTTCGTTGTGGGATACTTACAACTGGACCCTCACAAAACTGTGTTTACCTTTTGGCCATTATAAATTAATTCAACATATTTCTGAGCACCTGCGTGCTACTACTTTGTGCTGGACATCATCCTAGGCACTGGGGACACAGCTTCCGGTTAAATAGCAGTGCCACCTGTTTTCATGCATATAGTTTTTTCCACAGTTTAAGTTCCCTCCTTAAGGCAGAGTCTGAATTGGTGAGTGACACAGTCAAAGAACTTGTGAAAAAGAAACAATTCCTTCTCATTAATGAGTTTCATTGACATTCACTGATGAAACACTAAAGATATTTGAAGCTTTGAAAGCTGATGGCATCAGACTGTGCTCCTTAGTACTACTCCATCATGGTTTAAAGATTTTAGCACCCAGATTATTGTCATTGTCTTTCCTCCCACTTCTGTCAAATTCTTGGAGATTCTTTTTTTAATACCTTTTTAAAAAGTTGATTTGAAAGAGAGAGAGGAAGGGGGTAGGGAGAGAGAGAGAGAGAGAAAAGGAGAGAGCGAGAGAGAAATGCTGATTTGTCGTTCCACTTATTTATGCATTCACTGGTATTCTTGTATGTGGCCTGATGAGGGACTGAACCTGCAACCTTAGCGTATCAGCATGATGCTCTAACCAACCAAGCTACCTGGCCAGGGCAAACTCTTGGTGATTCTTGATGATTCAGTACCACATAGACAATTCTTCTAATAAATGTGATAGTTTGTTCGCAGAGATAGCCACTCTGCTTCCTCCTGTCCCATATGACCTTTTGCAATGATTTTGCTGCTCCTCCCAGCAAGAAGTAGAGTTTGTCCCTCAGCTCCTTGAATCTGGGCTGGCCTTATGATTCACTTTGACTAAAAGCATGTGGCAGAATTGATACTGCCTGAGTCCCCAGAGTCTGGGCCTGCAGCCTGCCCCTTTGTCCTCTCAGAATACTGCCAAAATCATAAAGAAGCCCAGCTTAGCCTACGGGAAGATGAGAAGACCCATGGAGGAGAACTGAGGTACCCTGGCTGCTGGCCACAGACACCCGAGGTCATGTTACTCAGCCCCAGTCAAGCTTCCAGATGACTGTGGCCATCTGAGTGTGTGTGCCTGGGCCAGACCAATTGAGCTCCTCTGCAGAGCCCCACCCATATTTTCAAATGATGAGTGGGCAGATAAAAGGCGATTGTTTAAGCTGCTCGGTTTTGGGGTAGTTTGTTAACATGGCAGTGGATCACTGATAAAACCAGCTTGCCATGTCTTTAGTTTCTTCTTCTCCACCAATGAGAAGAATTGCCCCCCCCAAACTTGTTGCTACCAATGCTTCACACCCTCCATAATCTTAGTTTTAAGTATCACACTTTCCTGTTACCAACTTGTATCTTTTCAGTCCAAACAATTCTGGATACTTAAGGCTGTGTGTATTTTTTTGCCATTATAAATGCATTTAACAATTACTGGATTTGGATCCACTGGGATCACTGGGCCATGGGACAACTTGGGTGTGCCCTAGGCGCTTCACCTTCATGGCCCCCTTCCTCCACAAAAGAATGTTAAAAATTATACTTTATGCCCTGACTGGTGTGGCTCAGTCAGTTGGGCACCACAAAGTGAAAGGTCGCCAGTGTGATTCCGAGTCAGAGCACATGCCGAGGTTGTGGGTTCAGTCCCCAATGGGGTGCCTCCGAAAGGGGTTTCTTCCTCACATTGATGTTTCTCTCCTTCCCTTCTCCTGTCTCTGAACATAAATAAATAAAATCTTTAAAATTATACTTTATGACTGCATTGGTATAAAGAGAAATATAATCCAAGTGAGATTCATTATCATACTGTAAGTCCTCACTTAACATCGTCAACATGTTCTTGGAAACTGTCTTTAAGTGAAATGACATACATTGAAATCAATTTTACCATGGTCTAATTGACATAAAAAAGAATTAGATTTCTATGATATATTTCTGGTCATAAAAACATCACCAAATTTCTAAATAAAAACCAAAAACATTTCTAATATTAAATATTGAAATAAATTTGAACTATAATATGTTGAAGAAAAATTAATGAAATCAAATAAGATAATTATTTTCCAATCTGTTCATTCCTGTTCAGGGTCACAGGTGGCCAGGGCCAGTCCCAGCAGCTTAGGGGGTAAGGTGGGAACCTGCCCCAGACAGGATACTGTTACATTGCAGGATGCACTCACACACACCCATGCTCACTCAGATTGGGGCAATGTAGATGCCCAGTTCACCCCACCTACATGTCTGGGGAATGTGGGCGGAACCCAGAGTCCTGAGGACATGCAGAGCACATGCAAGCTCCACACAGAAAATATCTCTGCCTCCGGAATCCATTTCTTTTCTATTCTTTTTTCTTTCTTTTTTTTAACCCTCCTGAGGTTATGCTTATTGGTTTTAGAGAGAAAGGAAGGGAGAGAGAGAGAGAGGGAGAGAGAAACATCGATCAGTTGCTTGCTATACACACCCCAACCGGGCATCAAACCTACAATCCAGGTATGTGCCATGACTGGGAATTGAATCCGCAAACTTTTGGTGTATAGGAGGACACTCCAACCAACTGAGCCATCCAGCCAGTGTGGTTTCTCCCCTTCCTTCCTTCCCTCCCTCCCTCCCACCCTCCCTCCCTCCTTCCCTTCCTTCCTTCCATCATCAACATTATAGCAGAATGGTATTAAGTAAAATGTTATTCAAGGACCTGCTGTATATTCATTTTCATTATGTTCATTTTTCCTCTGATTTTAAAGTACATAAAAATTAAAACATTTCTGTGGGTCCCTGAAACAGTTGTGGAAATTTTGTACAGTGTTTCCTGTGCATAGGTTGGCCCGGTCTCTCATCCATTGATCTTATCTTCCTTTCAGTGTCTCCTGCCCCCATCTCATCTACCTTTTCTCCTTACTCAGCTTTAATTCTAGGGTCTGTCATTACAATTAGTCTATTGCTTATACCAACACCCTGGGCCCTCTCTGCCATTCTGTTCATCTGGTAAAACCCCACTGCTGTGCCCTCTCTAGCCTGCACCCCAGCAGCTGAACGTGGCTGGACATGAACAATAGTGGGGCCTGGCCTCAAATTCATACCTTCAAACATCCCTTGTGTTAACCATCAATTTGCCTGCATCTCCTCAGTTCTATGCACTCTCCCACCCTCCGGACAGCTATTTTTACCTTCTCCTCTCTCCTCCTTTCTCCTCATTCTGCTGATGGTCTTGCTTCCAACTTCATGGAGAAAATAGAAGCAATCTGGAGAGAATTTCCCCACGCTGCCACCCCCGACCTGCGTCCGTCTCCATACACTCTGTCTTCCCTCCTGTTCTTATTTAGGTGAACACCTCCACCTGGGCACTAGTTTCTGTCCCTTCTCACCCGTGCAAGTACAGGGCTCCACCAGTTCTCCCAGGTTGTCTGCATCAT